CAATTACTTTAGAGGTACTTTCAAGTAATGTATGATGATTTCAAAAAATAATTTAGCACCTCGGGAGAAGTACATATAACCAAAATTTTGGAAAGTCAACTTTTATTTGGAGATAAAATCCATTCCCACCTCGTGGGGCGATGCATTAATGGAGTAGACACCAATATGTATAGAGACAGAGGAATGTAGTAGTTTATACAATGATAAAAAATACCAGCAATTTTAATGACACGGTTAGTTATTTTATAGAGATATTTATGCATTGTTAGTAGAAGTACCTTATTATAAAGATTATACGATCATGAAGTTTGACTATATGTTGGGTCAGAATGTTTCTTAAGTGTTTGAATAAAATTAACGTTTTGCAAAATGAATTAAGAGGAATTTTGCAATAGTATTGATGTATTGGACTCCAGCGAGTATGAATGTTTCTTATTAGAAAGATGAAAGAAAATCTTAGTATTTTTTATATTAAGGATTTATTTTTTATATATTTTAGTTGGGGATTTAAAACGTTATTTCACTCTTTTTATATTAGAACATCATTACGTTGATTCTAAATAAAAAAAATCACATATGAATTCATTTGTTCTATATTTTATTTCATTCCTGCAATGATATGTTTAATAAATAAATTAATTTATTTTACAAACTTACTCAGTGAAAATCATTCGATACCACGTGCATCGCACGTGCACTTTACTAGTAACTACAAATTTCCCTGTTTTCATCATCTAAGATATATTATTATACAAGTTGGTATTAGATAGCTTAACTGTTGGACTGATCGACTTCATACTTTTGATTATTATCACTATTGTCATTCCCAACTCATTCTTCAGTAATCAAAGGGATTACAACAATCCAGAGAGGACAGAGACAGACATTGTCCGTAAGTTATTCAAAGATGCATTGAGTTTTCGGCTTATGAGAATGCAAGGGTATTCAGTAACTCCAGGTATATTATATTAGCTCACACTGTAGTGCCATATATGTTGTTAACAAAAATATTGAAATTTCTTGAATCATATATACAGGAAGCTTCTGCTGGTTTTTGCATGAACCCGAAATCATGGCATACATTGAACAAAATTCGGAAAGGTTCACTAGCGCAATGTACAATGTATACAGAGCAACTGATTTACCATTTCCAAGAGAGGCTGAAATGGAAGAAGCTAGAATATTTGCTCGAAAATTACTGGAAAACATAAGTACCACATATGGAAATCCCAATTTATTTTGTTCCAAGGGACTCCAGAATATGGTAAATTGCAGTTGGACCTCAAATTTTAAATATAACCTTTGTTAGTCTATTTTCAAATAGCATTACTAATTTCTTGAGACTGACTATAAATATTACTTCATGTAGATTAAGTATGAGTTAAATGTTCCATGGACTGCTCGTCTCAACCATCTTTACCACAGGAAATGGATTGAAGAAAGTATAACTGGCCCTCTGTGCTTTGGGATGCCCTCATTCTACGGGTATATATATAATTTTAGTTATTTAGTTTATTTCTTGATTATGACAAAATAAATTTGTCTTCACATGGTATTTGAGTATATGTACCAGGTTATCTGGCCCAATGAACAAAAAGCTATTACAGATAGCGGTGGAAAACTATGAATTTCGACAAATGATATACAGACGAGAGCTGGAGGAACTTAAAGGGTATATATACCCTTTTCAAAATTGTATATATTAGTTTATTTACCTTAACTTACCGTGACTTTTTTAGTAATAAGCTCTGGTTTTACGCAGCTGGTCTAAGAAATTGCGACTTAGCGAGATGGGTTTTGGGAGGGAAAAGACGGTTTATTCCTATTTTGTAACGGCCGCTAGCAGTTGCTTTCCTTTGAATTCAATCATGCGCTCGGTTGCAGCAAAGGCTGCCATAATCGTCACTGTTGCTGACGACTTTTACGATATGGAAGGTTCTTTGACTCAGCTGGAAGCCTTGACCGACGCAATTAGAAGGTCGGGCAAAAATTGTACCTAGTTATTTTTTTTTATTTATTTTTTTTTCACTTAGTGGCTATATATATATATATGCTTTAAGGAGTAAATTTTTTGTTTCCCTCACAATAAGAAAATACATTTGCAGATGGGATAGCAGAGGATTAGAGGGGCATGGAAAGACCATATTTGATGCCCTTGATGACTTTGTGAATGAAACCGTTGCATGTTTTTGTGGTCCTCAAGAAAGGACCAAAGTTGTGACGAAATTACGATACCTTGTAAGTTCGTACAAAGTCATCTTTCAACAATTTTACTTCAATACTATATCTTTTTTTATTTTTTTTACAAATTACTCTTAATTAGTTATACTACTGGAAATACTCATCGTTGATTGATTAACTCTCTCTTTTTTATAGTGGATTGAAACCTTTGAGTCGTGGATGGTGGAGAGAAGATGGAGCTTGACCGGTTACAAACCGTCCATGGACGAATATCTTTTAACCGGCATGATTTCAATTGCAACTCACACGATTGCTCTTCCAACCACAGATTTCATGACCCAAAACTCCACAAACGGATCTTCCGACCCAAACCCAAAATATCACGGCATCACGAAACTGCTCATGTCCCTTTCCCGCTTAGCTAACGACACACAGAGCTATGAAGTACTTAGAAGAAATAAATATCACAAACACTATCTCAAACTTCTCTCTTTTAACAAACATGATCATTTTTTATATTTTTTTTTTCAGAAAGAAAAACTAGATGGAAAGCTGAATTACGTCTTGCTCCATTCGGAGAAAAACCCTAGCACGAGTGTAGCTGATTCAGTTGCCTACATTAGAGGTATTATTCAGGATATAAGGAAGGAATTCGTCGAGCACGTGTACATGGATAGGGATGTTAATGAGTCGTTCAGGAAAATACATTTGTGGAGCATGAAAATATTTCATATGTTTTTTGAATCCGCCAATTTATTCGACAGCGATACTGCGCTTGTGGATGAGATACAGAGAGCCCTTTTTGTTCCAATTGTTCAGAAACCGAAGCCCGAGCCTCTGTTAAGACCCCCTGTACCCTTCACCCCTATAAAGAATGTGAAGAATAAAACCGAGATTCTAGCTAGATTTCGCCCTTTCACGAGACGTTCGGACAACATAGGCTTCATCAGACCATCATTTGTGAAGAATTCAACTTCTTACGTTGGCAGGGAGAGGATGAATGTCAATGTTCCAATACAGTTTAGTTTGTATTTTATTTAATAGTCAAAGGGTTCCTCTGGTTTGGGGGTATCATGTCGGGTGATTTATTTAATTAAAAAAAAAGTGGAGAACAATAAAAAAGAAAAAAAAAAGTGAAAAAAAAAATTAAAATGCCGGATTCTCAGAATCCGTTTTTCAAAAAAAAAATACTTTATTCGAAAAACAGATTTTCATAATCCGTTTTTATTTTTTATTTATTTTTTATTTTTTTATGTATTTTTTAATTAATAATATAAAAAAAAACTTAAAACGGATTTTGAAAATTCGTTTTTATTTTTTATTTATTTTTTAATTAATATTAAAAAAAACTTAAAAACGGATTTTCAAAAAACTTAAAAACGGATTTTGAAAATCTGTTACTAATTTTTATTTTTATTTTTTTTTTTTTTATATAAAAAGGGCAAAAATGTAAATTGGGGTGCGGTATTTAGCAAAAAGGGTGCGGTATTTAGCAACACCCTTGAAAAAATTGTTGTTTGTTGTCATCTTAATTTATATAATATTTATGTCACATCAATACTTCCCACTTTATTTTCATTTTAATCTATTCACTCAAGAATTTACCATTTCCGTTGATTTTATTTTTTCTTTCTCAATGCAATGAGATCCATTTCCAAAATCCAGCATCGCAACCCCAAAATACACTGCCAATTGCGCCCGTCGTCTCAAGTCGTCGGTGTTCTTTTCCCTCAGTGACCGGAATAGAAATCTTCTCCGGCTGTCAGTCTACCCAATGGCCGCGACGCCGCGCAGTGAGGCTGCAGACGCCGACGCCTCCGCCAATTCCTCTTCATCTCTCCAATTCGGCACCCCCCAAGCGCTTGAGCATATCCGCAAGCTCACGGACGTTGGGGCCATGACCCGCCTCCTCCACGAATGCATAGCCTACCAACGCGCCCTGGATCTCGAGCTCGAGACCGTGCTCTCCCAGCGTTCCGATTTGGACCGCCAGCTCTCGAACCTCCACAAATCCGCCGACATTCTGGAGATCGTGAAGGTTGACTCCTCCTACATGCTGTCCAACGTCTCCTCCACCTCCGCTCTCGCCGATCAGGTCTCCGCCAAGGTTCGCCACCTCGATCTCGCTCAGTCACGAGTCCAAGGTACGCTCCTCCGCATCGACGCCATCGTCGACAGATCCAGTTGCCTCGACGGCGTCCACAAGTCTCTCCTCGCCGAGGATTTTGAATCTGCCGCGTCGTACATTCAGACTTTCCTCCAGATTGACTCTAAGTTCAGGGACTCATCCGCAGCCGATCAGCGGGAGCAGCTCCTTTCTTACAAGAAGCAATTGGAAGGCATCGCCAGGAAGAGGCTCTCGGCGGCGGTGGATCAGCGGGATCACCCAACCATTCTCCGCTTCATTGGGCTCTTCAAACCTCTCGGCCTCGAAGAGGAAGGCTTGCAGGTCTATGTGAGTTATTTGAAGAAGATCATCTCGACGAGATCAAGGATGGAGTTCGAGCAATTGGTGGAACTCATGGAGCAACCCAATAATAGCAGCCCGTTGAATTTTGTGGCTTGCTTGACAAACTTATTTAAAGACATTGTCTTGGCTATTGAGGAGAATGATGAGATTTTGAGGAATTTGTGTGGCGAGGATGGCATAGTTTACGCGATCTGCGAGCTCCAGGAGGAATGTGACTCGCGAGGTTCCAACATTTTGAAAAAGTTCATGGAACACCGGAAACTTGCGAAATTGACTTCGGATATTAATTCTTACAAGATCAATTTGCTCTCAGTAGGGGTGGAGGGTCCTGACCCTAGAGAGATTGAGCTTTATCTTGAAGAAATACTGTCATTGACCCAGTTGGGTGAAGATTACACGGAGCACATGGTTTCGAAAATAAAGAGCCTGAGCTCTGTGAATCCGGAATTAGCCCCACAAGCCACAAAGGCCTTCAGGAGTGGGAGTTTCAGCAGAGTTTCTCAAGAGACTACCGGTTACTATGTCATTCTGGAAGGATTCTTTATGGTGGAGAATGTTAGGAAAGCCATACAGATTGACGAACATGTGCTGGATAGCCTCACAACATCCATGGTGGATGACGTGTTCTACGTGTTGCAGAGTTGCTGCCGGAGGGCTATTTCAACCTCAAATATTAGCTCGGTGATTGCCATTCTTAGCAGTGCCGTGAGTTTGTTAGGGGGTGAATATAGTGAGGCATTACAACAGAAGATGAGGGAGCCTAATCTTGGAGCAAAGCTGTTTTTGGGTGGTGTCGGGGTACAGAAGACTGGTACTGAGATTGCCACGGCATTGAACAACATGGACGTCAGCGCTGAGTACGCCCTGAAACTGCGGCATGAGATTGAAGAGCAATGTCTTGAGGTCAGTGCTGGTTGTTATTTTGTTTTTCCAAGTGGTGATGGTTATGTAAATTTAAGATGTGTTTGCTTTTTACTGTTCTTAGTTTCTGAGATATGTGTGCTTGTTGTTAGCTGCGGTTCCTGAATGATGAAAAGAAAAAATGAATTGCTAGTTACACAACAAGTTACTCGTGTAAGTTGACACTATCTTCAATTGCAGGGGTAATATGTTACATAAGGTAGATTAGTTGTTATTATCTTGATGTTGTTACTTGTTAAACCTGGGGAGCTTTAACTTATAATCGGTTCTCTAAACTTCTGTTCCTCCCTAGAATTCCTTTAGTTGGGATTGCTTTAAATATAATTGACCCTTCTTCTTTAGTGTTTCGTATGATTGATAGCAACATGAATTGTATTTTAGTATTCTAGACCTACTGATTATGTACTACTAACATCTCACAGTCCAACACCGGTCATTGACTGTGACAAATTAATAAATTTTCTTATCGCTTTATTATCATAAAAATGATCGTCCAAAGGTGTGGGCAAGTGTTTCTCCATAAATATATAGGGATGTAATAACCATCTAAGAAAGAAGAAATGGTTTGTTCTATGTGATCTTTGATATTTGCTGCCTTATTCTCCACAATAAAATTGCTGCTCAGTGCCTACTAGGGCAACCAAACTTTTAAAATACAAATGATGACTTTTCACGGAAGAGTATGCATTTTTTGTTAGGAAAATGTGATCACCTAACCAATTTGTAGAAATGAAATTGGTATCCACAAATTGTAATATGCGATCTACCATATATCATATATATACTGTTTGTTCCAGCTGAACACTTTCCCCTTTCCCCCAGGTATTCCCAACCCCAGCTGACCGTGAGCGAATCAAGTCTTGCCTGACCGAGCTCAATGAGACTAGCAACAGCTTCAAGAAGGCTCTGAACGTGGGCATGGAGCAGCTCGTCTCCAGCGTGACCCCTCGGATACGACCCATCCTGGACAGCGTGGCCACCATCAGCTACGAGCTGTCAGAGGCCGAGTATGCAGACAACGAGGTCAACGACCCCTGGGTCCAGAGGCTTCTCCATGCTGTCGGGACTAATGTGGCCTGGCTCCAGCCCCTGATGACATCCACCAATTACGACACGTTCCTGCACCTCATCATTGACTTCATCGTGAAGCGTCTCGAGGTCATCATGATGCAGAAGAGGTTCAGCCAGCTGGGGGGACTCCAGCTGGACCGGGATGTTCGGATGATGGTCAGTCATTTCTCGGGCATGACACAGAGGACTGTGAGGGACAAGTTCTCTCGCCTCACTCAGATGGCCACTATCCTCAACTTGGAGAAAGTTTCCGAGATTTTGGACTTCTGGGGGGAGAACTCTGGGCCCATGACGTGGAGGCTCACGCCGGCTGAGGTCAGGAGGGTGTTGGGCCTCCGGGTGGATTTCAAGCCCGAAGCTATAGCCGCTCTTAAGTTGTAGCCCGCTTTATTTCTGTTGGTTACATTGTTTTGATGATTTTTATGTTGTCGGCATTTTTATATGTTTGCTTTGTGTAGTCTGCTTCCCTCATTACACACTATACACAGACATATCCACGGGCTGAACCGGCTCGGTCAAGCTGGTTGACCGTGGGCCTTGCACCGACCCATGTTTATACTATGGCTGGTTCAGGGTCACGAAATTTTAATTTTGTGAACCGCAGGTTCCGGTTCAGGGTCGGCCCGAATTTCATTGTTTTTTTATTAAATATTTAGTTTTGGGCCGAACAGGTCATTCCCGGTACTGGACCGACCAAACGATAAATCAAATCTAGATTGTTGGAGATCTAACAATCTATTTTTTTTTCTTTTTTTTTATATATTATTATTATTATTATTATTATTATTATTATTATTATTGTAAACAGTTCTGAGCCGGTTCGGACCAGAACTTGAAGCTTCCAACAGTAAGATTTTTGAAACTTACGGTTGGATCGATTTAACGGTTGAGATCCAATGGTCAGAATCTGTTGGGACTGCTGGGTTGACCCCGAACCGGTGGTTCTTTAATTAAAAAAATTGGAAAAATTCGAAAAAAATTCTGTAAATAACCAACCCTTCGCCCCTGAGAATTCACACCAATCTCATTTTCTTCATCTCTTCACTAAGTTCTTTTGTTAAATTACTAGTACGAATCCCGTGCGATGCACGGGTAAGAGATATTAATTAACATTTATAAATTAAAAATTATCATTAAATAATATTTATAAATTTAGAAACATGGAATCAATATGTAATACAATGTACCTATATAATTTATTGAAAATATTACATAAAATTTAAATTGTGCAAAATTACATAAAAATATCTATTTAAAATTAGTACACCTCCCGTGCGTTGTACATAACTAATAATAAATTACATTATATTCATTTCAAAATATGTCATTTCAAAATTTTTATTCAGAATTTCGATTTGACTATAACGTGATTCCATAATTTGGTAAAATTTTATCATATATTTAAAAACCTATGTGAATAATAAGTATAAATATAAACTTATATCGTTTAATTAATTAAAATGAATTTACTTTTGTATAAAATATCCAAATCAAAAGATTTAAGTAGTTGAGTAAAAACAATTAGTCATAAGATTTTTTATGCCAAAAAAATCGACATTCTTTATCATGCTAAAAAAATTAACAGTGCATTTAACACAAAAATTATTTCAAATGTCGTAATAAAAAATGAATTTAAATCAAGACCCACTAATTATACAAAAAAAAAAAGCAGAGCTTTTTCTATAAAGAAAAATATCGATACACACACATTATATCAAAATATCAGTTTATATTATTTTGTCGGAGTTACTGTAATTTTATTATGTTAATTTCATACGAATAATTGAAATAAAAATTAAAACTGACGCCTAAAAACCAATATATTAGTCTGCGCGTTACAGAAAAAAGTACACCGTATATTGATTATTATTTTCAACAAATTTCCTACAAAAAACAGTTATCAAATAACCTAAATAAATTCACTCACTTTATACCATATATTGATTAATTTATTTTCTATAGAAAAACCATGAATACCAAAAATAAATTCGTCCACTATATATCATATATTAATTAGTTCACGAGAAAATATGTTTCCACGAGAAAATTATATGATTTACCTCCATTTGTATTCTTGATGAGAAGGCAGTCGGCCATCCAATGCTCAGACTTCTTAAAAGAGTGGCAACTGCCTTTCGACTTCTTCTTCATTCCCTACACTGTCACACTTAGAGAAGTAGTGGGCATGTGCACCCTGGCCTTTTTCAATAAACCTCATCTTATTCTTGCCCTTGTTGGGCCTATAACTCGAGGGACCAGCCCACTCATCCACTAGAGCCCGAGCATTCAGAAGAAAGAGTCTGTCCGTCACTTGGAGCTCAGTAAACAGTTCCGCGAGAGACAACAACATTTTGTTCATGTTGTAATTCAAGTGAAACTTCTCAAAGCTCTTGGTCAGAGACTGGATCGTGATATCCACCTGGATTTCCTCGTCAATATCGACCGCAAGGATCTCCAGCTCATTGAGCTGGGCCATCAGCACAAGGACGTGATCTCTTACGAAGTTCTCTCTGCCAGGGTTGTGTTCATCAGAACTCTCATTGCCTCCTGTTTGGCAGCCCAACTCTGGTGGCCAAACAGATCCTTAAGTTTGAGAAGCATGTCATAAGCAGAACCTATGGATTGATGCTGGTGTTGCAACACATTTACCATAGCAAGCGAAATATAGCACCGCATCATCTCATCGGCTTTTTTCAACTTGGCATACTTTTCCTCCTAATCCATGGCCGACTCATCAGGCTCACCCGGATAGACCTCAGAGAGTATAAATTTGTACCCCTCATCGGTCAGCATTATGTCCATGTTCATTTTCCAATCAATGTAGTTGGGACCGGTAAGTTTATTTTATTTGAGAATAACGGACAACATATTGAAAACATGTTTGAAATTTTCTGAGAATCACGAAAATTATTATTAAACATTGAAATTTAACTTTTAATATTGATATCCTAAAAAAATATTAATTTTAAATTCACTGACATCTCAAAACACGAAGAATAACACATGCACTTTATTGTAGACACATTTAATATTCTTTAGAGAAGGGTTTTTCAAGAACCCATCAATTTCCATAAGTCAACCTAAATTCTTGACGAACGAAATTAATAGCCTGTTTCCTTTGGCTGTACGAAAAAAATTCAGTGACTCCATAGCGGAGGATGATTTTTATCGCATTCAAAGTGTGATCCATTACCCGATCCTAAGTTCATCATACCAACATTGTAAGATTCCAGTTTGAGGGGTGCGAACACTCTTAGCAAAATCTTCTATAATCATCCAATGAAAATTTGTCCTGGTGATACCACAATTAGTTTTATCCGTTAAGGAGAAAGGTCTTAAATGCGCATACATAAATCAGTTGTATCACCAACAAGACGGTAATTGAGGCCGTAGGATTTTCAAAATTTATTTTTATTTTAAAAGAATCATTCTCCCACTAAGTATTTTAAAATGAGAAAGTTTCTAACATGAAATTTATAGTTAATTCCCATGCATTCAAGCAAAAATTAATTAAACATGCATATTAAACAATTAATGGCAACAATTTAACATGGAAATAAATCCAACTATTATGAACATTAATTAGAACTCTAGATGATTAATGAAACCAGTCAATCCATATCCTATTAGAACTGAATTTTCTGTACCAGTTTAAAATTACATGACCAAAAATCTTCTTGTCCAAGAAAGCTGGTCACTGGAATTTTGTCGGAGCTAGTTGTCCGTTGTGCGTCACCGATGTCGCGCCGCACGTTCGAGCCTCTACCGGTGAATCTAGGGGGCGTCGCCGAGCCTCTTGAGCCGTCGTTGTGGGAATGCCACCATCACCTAGGTCGTTTTAATTTCCGTGGGATGCTGCTCTGCGTCACTCGCGCCTACCAAAGATATTGCACAGCTCGAGGGCCTGGCCGCATCCGCGATCCTACCTGAGCTTGTCGCGCACATCGCCGGGCATGCTACGCAAACACTTTCAAAGATCACACTGAGAGTCAGCTGTCTCCAGGGTTGCGCGTGTAGGCTAGGAGTGTTGGGTTCGATAGTACCGTACGGGCTGTACGCAGCGGAATTTAAAATTTTTAAAGTAAGTATTTATTGTATAAATACAACACCCGTACATACTAATTGCGAATTAACTGATCGTCATCTTTAAAACATGCATCATATACAAATTTTGATTTGTTACTATAAAGTAAATACTAGTAAAAATATTTACCGAATGTCTTGAACTCCTTCACTATTGATGATGGATGAGGGAATCGGTTCCCGGTTGTAACTTCAACGACTTGAGGTTACTCGCTAGAGGAATCCAAGTGTCTTCCCTCTAAACGTATCCACCCTATGAAGCCCGGTTCCGACGACTTTCCTTCGCTAGTAGAAAAGACTCGGTTTTCTTGTATAGGAATATTTATGAATTTTATTTGGGAATTTTAAGAACTCTTTCTTGAAGTTTTATGAAGAACACTTTCTTCTCTTTCTAACACTTAGAAATTTAGGATCAAAACCTCACTTAAATGCAAAACCATTTTGCACATATTTATACTAAACATTTTAGCATAAAATAATCAACATTTAGTAATATTTAAATAAAATCAAATTTTATTTAAATAGTATTTACTAACTTTTGACTTTGAAAATAATAAGATATGTTAAGTAGTTCAAACAACCATCAACAACCATTTTATTATAATCATATTTATTATTTTAATCCTTAAATCATATTTAAAGATATAAATAATAATTGGATAATAAATCTTGAGAATCTTTCTCAAGACTTTATTATTATATCATTTTCCCAATATTATAATAATCATATTATTATTATTTTGGATTTTTGAAATTTAAAATCCTATTTTAAAATTCAACTTTATTAATTTAGTAATTACCTTAATTACTAAAGTAATATCCAAAATGTAATTAATCAATCTTATTGATTAATATATTCCTTTAATTGATATCTAATCAAATTAGATATTTATCAATTAATTCTAACCATTAGAAATACAATCTTTACCTTTGTTCATAATTAGTGTGACCTTTTAGGTTCACCTTAATACTAGTAGTGGGTTTACAACACTTTGTAATTTGAGTTAAATCTTATTAACTCTTATTCATGAATTAACCCTTTAATTTATGAACCCACATATCATGGTAACACCTAGCAAGTAGCATGAATCTAGTATTAAGTGAATAGCGAGTAAACCTATTCCGATTACAACTCCATACATGTAAAATCCTTTCGACATCTAATTTCCCGATTAAGTCTTGGGTATGATTTTGTCGAAACCCAAATTGACTTAATAACTATGATTCTATTTCATGTTTATTAACCCGGTTATGAATCACTATTCATCTCTGCCTTGGCCAAGGACTTTGGATTAATAACTATGAAACACATAGGAAATTCACTTATCTTCATAAGTGTCGAATCCTTTATTGGCCACTAACAAACTTCCATACATATTAACATAATACCCAACTTATCCCTTTAAACGATAGTGCTAGCTACCAAAAGGATAAATCAAAGTAGAATGTAATATGCACAAAGTTACCATTGTGCCTCAAGTCTTAGGATTAGTCATGTACTATTGTAACATGAAAATTCTTATTCGACTGAATAAATTCTTCATTAAGAATTTTCATACGGTCATGTTCAGTGAACTTGTTCTCTAACAAGCACCCACATAAATGTACTTACGTCTTACGCTAATGTTGATGGAATGCAACATTCTTGTCC